TTCTGCATAAGCTACTTCAGTAGGGTTTCGTGGGGCTACAAGAGATCTGAGCATTAAATATGTAGCTGCATCGCAAACGCTAAAAGAACTGAACGTTTCTTTTCAGGTCTCACAAAGTCATTTGTGTAATACGTCTACACTATACAGTACATGATGTTGCATCTATTCAGTAACTGACTTTATGCTGTTGTCACCTTCACTTAATATACCCCCTATGGAAATCTAAGAGGGTCATTTATGTTAACACATATCCTTACAATACTCCAGCCTTTTTGCATATTCCAGCCACAAACTCTCTCTGTTTGCCGTAAACTCTTCCATATGTCCAAAAGTCGCCGTTTAAAACAATGCTTATCCTGTCAGTATCTGTACAAGCGAAAAGGCAACCGTTACTCCTGTGATAACCGTTGTGGCATAACGCTCCTTTCTATAGCTGGTAAGATACTGGCCCGAATCATGCTGAACCGCCGCATCCACCATCTCGAGCAAGATCTTCTCCCCGAGAGTCAATGCAGCTTCCGCACTGGGAGTGGCACAGGGGACATGACCTTTGCGGTCAGACAACTTCAGGAAAAGTGTCAAGAGCAGAACAGGGATTTGTACACCATCTTTGTGGACCTGACTTTCAAGCTTTCAACACTGTCAGTAGGGACGGAATCTGGAAGACAATGGCCAAGTTCAGATGTTCTGACCAGTTCATCACCATTACACGCCAGTTTCAGGATGGCATGATGTCTCATGTGCTGGATGATGGTGAGACCTCATAAGCCTTCCCTGTGACAAATGGAGTAAAGCAAGGGTGTGTACTTGCCCCGACACTGTTCAACACGATGTCCTCAGCCGTGCTGTCTGATGTTTTTTGCAACAGTGAGGAAGGCATCCACATAAGATACTGGAAAGCAGTCACCAGGGTGAAGGAGACAGTCATCAGGGATGTCCTCTTTGTTGATTATTGCGCACTCAATGCTGCCAGCGAGCAGGACATGCAAGCCAGCATGGCAGGTTCTCTGAAGCATGCAACAACTTCGTTCTCACAATCAGCACAAAAAAGACAGAAGTGATGTACCAGCCCACCACTGGTAAGCCTCTCAGAAACTCTGCATCACAGTCATGGGATTGACACTCAACGTCGTAGATAGCTTCACCTATCTGGGCAGTAATCAAGCATGTGAACATAGATGAAGAAATTAACTGCAGGGACAGTAGTTAAGGACAGTAGTGGGTTTGGGAGGTTGCAAGTCAACGACTGGGAACGTAGACATACTGTATATTAGTCTCAACACAAAGCTGAAAGTCTTCCAGGCTACAGTACTTCCAACATTACTTTATGCATGTGAAACATGGACCATCTACAGCAGACATGCCAGACAATTGAATCACGTCCACATGACGTGCCTGCGCAAACTGCTGGAAATCAGGCAGCATGATAAGATCCCTGACAATGAGGTTCTCACCCACACTCACACCCTGCTGCAGAAGACCCAGGCCTGATGGGCCAGTCATGTCCTACACATGGATGATGAGTGTCTTCCCAAGAAGCTCTTGTTAAGTGAACTGGCAGAGGTCGGTATATGTACATCTTCTGCCTACCTCTTCCCTCCGCCTCGTTGCCAGTATTATATCTACCTAAGAACACGGAGGCACTCGAGGATTATGCAGAATGGTAGATTTATTGAACAGCATAGCTTCCAAACAACAGCTAACTAAACTAATCTAAACTACTTCTCCCGGAATCACGTAACATAAACCCCTCACATCCCCTGGGAAAAGGGAGGTATAACCGACATTCATGGTACACCACAAACAGGTTCTCAAGACATTCAAATGTTTTGTAAATTGTATAGCTGTATATCTGTCTATCTCTGTGTAGTTTTATCTGTTGTGTGGTGATTACAATGACCAGCCAGAAATGCAAATGGATAAAAAATAATTTTGAAAAGCTGCACTTGACAGGAAGTGTTTGATTGTGACATGAAGTCCTGAATCTTCCTTGTACTGGTTCTTTAGGGTGTTAAAGCAGTTGGAGTGGTCAGCAGTGCTGTGCTATGGGAAGGGCAGGGCTGTTCAAGGTCTGACACACAGACTCTCTCACTCTTTGCAGCCTCCTATGAGCAGCCAGAGCTGCAGCAGGTCCTGGAGCAGGAGGCTGTGTCGCTGAGCTGTGTGTCTCGGAAGGGGTTTCCTGCAGCTCTGGTGAGCTGGATTGATGACAGGGGGGGCAGTTACAGTCAGGAGGCCATCACAGAGCTCACACTGACCCCAGAGGGGCTGTACGATGCGCACAGTCGCCTCAAGAGAGCTTTCTCCTCCCAGCGCAGGGTCTGCTGCATCATCACCAACAGCCCCCTACAGGAGAGGAAGAGGAGCTGCGTTCAGCTCGGAGCAGGTAAATCACTAGAACATCAGGAGGCACTTCTCTGAGCAAATTATTCTCATGAGGAGTGGTGTCTAAAAATTCTGTGCAAACAATTGTCAAACACTGTAGAGCTAACCCAATCCCTGACCTAGGTCAAGTCACAGAAGTTAGCAAGATATTGTTAGAACCACCAAAATCTTGTCAGATAGTGTTTGTTCAAAACATTTCAGCATTTTAATTCTATTTTAATTCCCTGTCCTACAATATAACCACCAATTCATCAAAGACAAATTCTTCCCTACACATCCACAAGTACTGTTGATTGAGTAAATATCTGCCAGGTACTACACAAGTGTGTGGTTGACATGGCAGATTTAAAAATGAA